CATCACAGCTACAGATCTGCCACATGAACCGTTTTATAGAAGATTATTTGGCTCGGGGCACATTTTTAGTACTGCTGCGTATGGGTGTGTGCCCCACCCAAAGCTCAACCTTTAAAAAGTCAATACTGGCTCCAGTGCAACAAGAGGCACATATTTTTAACTGCCTGATACACTTGTTAACGTATCCCAGAGTGCCTTTTTTCAGGTTATGTTCTTTTTTCCATCTACACTCTGTTTTGTTGGATGAAGCATGTGTATTTTCATGTTTTGCTAACTTGTGAATACACTCTTTAACCTCTTGTGCTCATAGGTCACACCCTCATCTGAGGCTCCAGTGGTTGCTGCCTCTGAAACTGAGGTAAATCAAATGTGTATTTTTATTCACATACACCCTCTTTTGTCTCCATTTAAACCAAACACTAGTGTGTTGTATCTTTAGGCTAAGCCAGAAGCAGACTAATCGTGTAACAGTTGAACAAAAGCTGAACTTGATGATTTACAAGTGAGCTAGACTTTGATTTTTGAGCTGCTTATGTAGATACTATGGAACATTTTTCTTCAGTGGGAGCAAAAAGCATTGGCACATGCTGGAAATGGAATTCTTACGTTACAGGTCCCCCTGGAGGCATTTTTCACACAAACATGCTCTGTCAACTTTTAATAGACAAATAAAGCACACTGGTTTTGTTAATTAGCTGCAAAATTTATAGTTTAAAAAGTAAAATGCATAGATTAAATACAAAGTTTACATTTTACAGACGCATAGATCTGTGTATGTGCTGGTTTTGCTGACACCTAAACAGTTGCAGAAATGATGACATGCATAAAAACAGCCTGACGCACAGTTTCCACTCATATTTTACAAGTTCATAGAAGCAGTCACTGAACAAGAAACAATTCTTTCAACAGAAAGGTGTTGAAAACTCCTGTGACTTAAGCCTCACATCGAATAAATAGCAGCTACGCTTTTTTCCTCAGGACAATTTCCTCTTATGCAAGCACTCAGATCACAATCTGGCTCAAGAACTCCAAAAGTTTTCAGAGAAAAGAATCATATTTTTCTTTACAGTTTCATTGATCTGCAAACAGCTTAATATACGAACGATATAAATGAATTGAGAAATGAGAAAATGGGAATCAAAACAACCCAAAATGACAGTTATTAGGGCTTTTTATATATCATACACACTGCAGTTGAAACTATTCATTTGAACTGCAGCAGTAAACATTAAGATAAATGTGATAGATTTAACCTTTAACCGTGTTCTGATTAATTTAGTTGTCAGTCATTCATAATGAAAGTTGGCTGTTAAGTGTCCTTTTCTTGGTTCCTTTCCAGATTCACACAGTTGATTCTGCGATCATAAAAACTGAGATTCAGGAGGTAAAACATGTCTTGACATTAAAATTACATCATCGTAACGACAAGAATGATGGTATATTTTAAGTAAATGTACTTTTGTTCTGTATGAACTGTACTAAAAAAAACCAAGAATCACTGTTTCTTCTCTCCGGTGTCGTGTTTTATGTTTTTTAATGTGCTCTGTGTTGATTTTGCACATGGAGACAGAGGATAAATGTGAGAGACCGGAAGAAGCTGAGGCCCTGGCAGAGAAAGGCGCTGTGACTGAGGTCGAAGTGGAGGTGGCTGTCACAGAAGATATTGCCGTACCAGAGCCTGTGACACGAGCCTCTGAAAAAACAGTGGGAGATGCAGTTAGCGGTGGCCAAGCTTCTGCTGAAGAAGAGCCTCCTCTGGGCAAGGTGGTTACAGAGACTGTTGCTGAATCAGTGGTGGAGGTTGTCACAGATGTACCTGAGAGCGAACGAGTGACTGAAGCGGCTGTTAGTCCTACAACCACAGCTGCTGAAGATGGGAAAGAGATGTTGGCGGAGGAGAATGCACCCGAAGTCCCTTCTGAGACTGCTATAAAAACAGAGGTGACACCTGATGAAAATACTTTCTTCTTTTCTCTTTTTGTGTTTTTAGTCTTTACAAGAATACATTGACTTTTTCACATTTTGTAGCCATCTTCTGTTTGTATAGCATGTGGCCTAAATATTAATGAAAGTTTTGTCATAAGCAGAACAAATGATCACAAGGGTAAGGTATTTTTTTTTTCCAAAATTTAATAGCAAAGACTAAAGATACACTCTGTCCTGTTTGTTTGTTTTTGTTTGTTTGTTTACATCAGCACACTCCTGTTGATTCTGTGGAGGCTGCTGCAGTGAGTATTTTTCCCTCTCTGTCGATAAAAAAGTA